GCGCTCAGGTGCTTGTCCATGCAGAACCTTCAAATTAATCCTCAAAAGATGAATTCATTTGTGTATCTACTATATGTCCTGTGTGTGTGTGTGTGGGTGTGTGTGTGTGTGTGTGTGTGTGTGTGTGTGTGTGTGTGTGTGTGTGTGTGTGTGTGTGCACAGTATATATGTACACACACAGAAATATGACTACTACTCTTACTGTTTAACATGTTGGGTTACTTCATGTTACTTCATGTTAAGGCTAATAAAAATGACAAGGCTGTAATGCTAACTAACGTGCTAGCTACTAGCTAGGTAGCTAACTTGATCAAGCCACTCCTGGTCCTTTCATCAGACGGGAAGCAAAAGAACGAGCAAGACCCATTGCTGGTATAATAACAACCTGGTACTAAGCACACAGGCATCTTGTTAAAGTTATCTTATCTTAGCCAGCGCCATATAGATAGATTATATCTATATTGCGCTGATCTTAGGTATCTGAATGGTGGAGGAAAAGATAAGTAAGTGACATCACTTACGCGACTCTGGGATTTGTAGTCTTTCTAGTTACGTATTTTTCATAGTCTTATATTTCAACAGTTTTACGACAAACTGTGACTTTTTTGACATGGAAATGATTTTTTAAGATTGACAAACATCATATGTGTAATTCATGGCACAATTCAAACGGGATCGAAAGATAAGTTTTCTCTCCCCATTGACTTCAATGCATAATTTTTTCCGAAATAAGGTCCCATTACCCGGAAGTAAGTGGGCGTGACTTCGCCACTCTATGCAGCCGAAACATAATTTCAGCCAATCAGCGTCGTCAAATCTGATGGTCACAGGGCTCCTACGTGAGCGCCCGGTGCAGTCTGTGAGTTGTTTGGACTCGAATCCAAGGAGACAAAACAGGAAGCTGTCATACACTCTGGAAGCTACCATTAGCAGCTAATGAAAACTCCGTTTTTGACATAAAAATTGAATTATGGATCATCAATCATTTTTCAAAGTGACAGACACATTGGATTAACCTATGGATTAACCTTCAGCTGCGTTTTTCTCGTTTTTGATCAGAATTGTTATTCTGCAAAAGGTGAGCATATCTCCATGTTTTGCTACCTAAAGCTACTTCGTGTGATGTCTGTATTTGCTTCCCCTGTCGCGAGTTCTGATCGCTCAGTGATGATACTTATATTTCTAGAAAATCGATTGATTTATACCTAGAGTGCGTTAGCATTTTTTCGCTCAGGGCTAATTTAGACGCTTCTTGTGAGACTTGTGTTTTGTTTCGGTAAACATGGTTCATATCATCAGTTAGATGCGTTTCCTCTGAGTAGGACACATGAATAGTTTATTACATTTTTAGAAGCCCTGAGACACAGTTTCATGAGAAAAAAAACGGGGGAAAAAAGCCCCTTAACAGGTTAAATGGGAATTAAATCATTTTAAGTAATTTTGAGTGTTCCCAAAGCCCCGGTGTTCTGCAGTTTGTGTGGGCCTACTGTACTGTTGCACAGTTTATGCTGTAGAAACTATGTCCAGGACAAGGTGTTTGGAAGTTTTGGAAGATTCATAGCTAACCACACTGAAGTTATGGAGGTATTGATCAGTCTTCTCATATTTTTAAGCCTCAAATTGTCCTTCCTCCCCCCCTCTAACATCACCAGAAGTCATGATTTAAGGGGTCTTTTCTCAAAAAAAATTACCGGGGAGCATCCCCCCGGACCCCTCTAGTATTGTTTGATCACCATTTCCACAGCCCCACCTAAAATATTTTCCACCAGCCGCCACTGGTCACAGATGTGTCTTTTGTTTTGTAATCTGTCTTTGTGTTTCAGTCAGAGAAGAATAAATAACTAGCAGAATATAAAAAAGCGCGTTTGTGACTTTTATTGGTAAGTTTGCTTCAACAGTGTGTGTGTGTGTGTGTGTGTGTGTGTGTGTGTGTGTGTGTGTGTGTGTGTGTGTTGTGCGTGTGTACCTCCACCCCAATCTGGTTGATCTCTCCCTTCTTGCTCTCCAGGAGAGTACGTGTCTCCTTCAGCTCTTCATCAGTCTTCTTCCATTTACTGTCAGCAGCTTTTTCTCTTTCCTCCAGCTAACACACAAACACACACACACACACACACACACACACACACACACACACACACACACACACACACACACACACACACACACACACACACACACACACACACACACACACACACACACACACACACACACACAGATGTTGCTTCCAACTGTTTGTTTACAACAATTGAACATCAATGAACAACAAAAACACTTTCAAATGCATTTACATTTTTTTTTTTTTTTTGGACCTTCTAACAGTTTGAGAAAAATAATATCTGAGAAAGGAGGTGAAAGGATTTGATCTAGGACACGAGTAGCTTCCCTGGATATCATACGCTGTCTTTGAATGACTTTGATTGGAGATATCAAACACAAACCTCTCTGGACTCATTCTGCAGCTTCTCCTTCAGGATGGAATTTTCTTCCTCAGCTTCCTCCCTCCTCTTCTTCATCTCCTGCCATTTGTTTCTGGATAATATCTTCAGTTTAAACTAAAAGACGAGACAGGAGAGATGAAATATCACATTTGACCAAATGCCTCTCAGTAAGTTCATATTCACACGTTTCCTCCCAGCTCTTCTGCAGCCAGAGATTATAAAGGAAGCTTTATGTAGGTCAGGAAACCAGAAGAGAGTATTGATCGTATTGATCTGAACCCACTTACCCGTGAAGAGGAGGAAGAACTGGCTTCAGCAGCTGGGCTTCTTTCCAGCTGGAGAAGATGAGAGATGAAGACAGACGTGTTCATGTGTTCTTACATGTTATTATCTTCACAACTAAAACTCTCATTTCACATCATTAGTTCCACTGGAAGCTCTGTGGAGAAGTGTCTCTATGATTAGGTCCATGTTTGTTCTGTATCTATTCTTAAATTCACGAGGATGCACATGAGAGCAAAGACTGTAAACATGGAGGTAACCAAACCTGGATCTATGGTTATAAACTCGTAAAATCTGCTTTGCACATGTGTTTTAATCAAGTGCACATATTTGTGAAACTTCAAGGATAGAAACAGAGACGTTTTGAAACAACGTATTCAGCAACAGGATGTCTGATTGAACTCTCAAGTGACCCAGGATGCTCAACACATCTACAAGTTGATGTGGCTCCTTTGAACTAGAGTTAGACTATAGATCTTCATATATACAGCAAGGTTCATGCAGGAAGTCTAACCTCCGTGTTGATGGACTCCATCAGGGTCTGCAGGCTGGTCTCCATCCTCTGAACCTCCTCCTGCAGCTGCTGGACTTCAGCTTCCTTCACTTCACACTGAGAGGAGAGAGACAGACATGTTTTATCATAAACCTTTGTTCCTATGTATATCAGGACTAAAGTGACTCATCAGCATCTGTTAGAAACTAAACTAATGTCTAGTTTACACTGCAGGACTTCACCCTGATTTATAATGAGAAAGAAAGGGTTTATACTAAGACCTTTTCTATTGAACTTATTTATGCTTCCAAATCAAAAGGAAACACTACAGAAGTTTCATGTTGATCCAGATGATAATCAATGACCTAAACTTCCAGCATGCCTTAAGGACATGAACTCTTGGATGACCATCAACTTTTTGATGTTAGTCATGAAAAGGTATCATACTCTGCCCCAAACACGTCTAGAATCTAAATACATCGTTTACCGTTATAATCATGCACCAATCCATATAAACTGTATAAACTCTACATACAGAGAAGATCAACTGAAATCTATACTTTTAGTAACATATTCAAACAGTAACCTCTGTGATGTTGGTGTCTGTTTCCTTCTGTCTGCTCTCCAGCTTCTTCTTCAGTGTCTCCACTTCCTGTTCAGCTTCAGCCTTCTTCTTCTTCTGTTCTTTTTCTTTCAAAGTCTGGATTTTTTTGAGAAAAGTGACTCAACAAACTGTTCAGTCTTTAAAGTGTTGCACAGTTTTATGTGTTAAAGAATCCAGTCTGATTATCTCTTTACAATCTATTAGTGATGCACATTGATATTAAGATAATTGACTTCCTGTTGTGTCCACATTGTTATTTTTGTGTAATGTATCAAATATAATAATAATAATAATAATAATAATTCATTACATTTATTTAGCGCTTTTCCAAATGCTCAAAGCGCTGACATTACATATGACATATATCAGACATGTAACACATCAATACTGTGGTGTACTACAATTCATTTTGTAAGCCTAACACCTAAGTGTGCATGCTGTGTCACTGCTCCTGCTGACTTGTTTTGGGGTTTCCCTCAAATGCTTTTCTGTTTTACAATAAATGCAGAATATTTAAGATGAAGACGTGAACCTCTCTCTTCTTGTTCTCCAGATCTCCCTTCAGGCTCTGCAGCTGGTTCTGGTTCCTCTGTTGCTCTGCATGGAGATCCTGCAGCTCAGACTCTTTAGATTCAACCTGAAAGAACAGCAGGAAGATTAAGATCATTTATTCACAGTCTAAAAGTAGGACTGTCTGGATGTGGTCTCCTCTTGGACCTGCACTGCAGGTTTGACCTTGTCTACACTAAGGACGACATTGAAAGTGACTTCAAACAGGAATCAATGTGTTTCATTATTGAAGTGGAGATGAACCTCTTTCTTCTTGTTCTGCAGCTGCTCTTTCAGAGTCTGGACTTCCTTCTCAGCTTCCTCTCTCCTCCTCTGCTCCTCTTTCAGAGTCTGGACTTCCTTCTCAGCTTCCTCTCTCCTCCTCTGCTCCTCTTTCAGAGTCTGGACTTCCTTCTCAGCTTCCTCTCTCCTCCTCTGCTCCTCAAGCAGCTGCTGCTCAGACTGATTTTTCTATGAGAAGAACAGTCACGTTTCTTTAATGATGATTTCTTAAGGTGCCACACAATGACACATGTTTTCATGCATTTCTGGCAGATCCAGTTTCTTGATGTGAAAGTCTTCTGTGCTTCTTGCTAAGACTTAACTTTTCATGTTGTTGTACTTTACTTACCGGTTTGCTCTTATTCTCTACGTTTCCCTTCAAAGCCTCCATATGCACAGCGTCAGGTTTCATCAGCTGTCCTCTTTCTTCTTCATTGAGAAACTGATCTTTAGATTTAGATCGGTTCTTCTTTTCTCCTTTATCAACTTCATCCAAACTCTTTCTCTTTGTCTCTGTGTGAAATGAAATGTGTGTTAAGATGTGTTAAAAGAGAATTAGAGGAACTTTAGGAAGGGATCGAAGCACATACAACTGTTCAGGCTAAATGTATCTGAACAGTTGGGTGATTGGTCAACGGCTTAGAGATGTCCCGCCCCTAGTGGTAGCCAATAGAAGCGCAAGTGTTACATAGTGATGTCACCATGCTCAAAACAAAGGAGTCCAATGGAGGCGTTTCAGGCGGGGGGGGGGGGGGGAGTTGTGGGAGAGAGTTGAGCCTTTGCAGACCATTAAAGGGGACCTATCATGCAAAATGCACTTTTGTACGTCTTTTATACATGAATATGTGTCCCCGGTGTTCCAGGGAACTCACCAAATGTCAGAAAACACAACCCTCTCTATTTTCCTCCATACCCAAATCTCTAAAAAAGGGGCTGCAACGGATCTGATAAAAACTGATCCAGATTTGAACACCGTCCTGACGTCACAGAAGTGGCGCTACGGCTATTGGGCCAACTCTCCACCTATCAGGGGAATGTGGGGTTGGGCCACGGCCGGCCATTGCCGCTCGAAAGCGCTGGAGACGCTGTAGTACATATGCCAGGCCTGTAAGTGGCGCTGTAGTCTGCCACAAAAGCAGCGAAGAAGACTTCCCGCCCATAGTTACCATGGTTACCCTTCTGTTTATTCTCCGCTGTGGCTTTCTTTCTCCCTCCCCGAGGCAAGCGTTTGCTCCCGCTGCTTTAATTCAATGCAATCCCTCCCCGTCGAGGCAAGCACTGTAATTCTCTCCGGTTAGTCCACCAGCAGATGACAAACACCCACCTCTCCGCCTCTTCCAAGGAACGAGGGGACCGTGCGGCAGAGTTTCAGTTTCAGTTTGTTTCGCCGGTCAAGATGTCCGTTAAAGTTGAAATCTTCCGGACAAAATTTGAAAAGTGCCGGTCAAAGGTCTTCTTTGTTATTTATTGAGCTTTAAAACAAATGAATAACGACTCTATATAATAAAACACGGAGGACGGAGATCTCTTTTTCTCCCCCTCTTCTGACAGCCCAGCAGCTGATCAGAGCACGGCTCACCTCTCCTGCAGGGGGGCGTGGTCAGCAGAATCAGACCCGTAGACAGCAAACAGCACATAGAGCGAAATGAGGCATGGCTAAAATGCATGATCTGTTTGGTATTTTGAAAACAGAAACGTATAAATATACCTTATATAGGTATGGCCCTACAATATATCATTTAAATATAGCATGATAGGTTTCCTTTAACATGCACACAAACCTACAGAACATACAGCACTACGCATAAAGGGCCCCTTTAATTAACCAAACTGAATCATATCACCAGACTGTTAGTGACTTACTGAATATGTGTTCTCTCCACAAAAAGAAGAAAGAAACTGCCAGCATCAACAGAATGCAAACAGCCAAACTGACGGCCAGACCAATATTGATGGAAGAAGACCTGGACTGGAGCTTAAAGAAATCATCTGAAATGATAAAACACAGAACATCACAGCATTTATATAAAACTTGGTCTTTGATATCTAAACTAAAACATGTTAAATGAACATTTAGTCTACCTGAAATGCTGAAGTGTGTCTGAGTGGTGTGGTTGGTGTTGTGGTGCTGCACTCTGCAGGTGAAGCTGCTGCTGGGTCTCTTCTCCACAGTCACTCTGCTGCTGACAGTATAGAGGTCATCAGGACCTCTGACTGTCTCTGGAGGTCCAGCAGAGAGGAGCTTTCCCTCAGCGTCCAGCCACAACACCTCAGGCTCCGGATACCAGCCTGCAGACTCACACTGCAGCACCACTCCTCCACTCTGACCGTCCAGCCCTGATAAACTGATGAGAGGTGGAGAGGCAGGACCTGATGCTGGACAGAAGGAAGACAAGGAAGTAAAATCGCAGATATCAAATCCGATGCAGCTTCCTTTCTACCAAAATCCTCACGTAAAAATTATACCAATGAGCTCCCAAGTTTATTTGCTTGTTGCTCTGTGGGAGTAAAATATGTTCTAAGTTGCTATATACTACAGCACAGAACATGCAGTGCGTTAAGCTGGGATCCTTAAATACGAACAAAGTAGCGTACAGTATTTTAATGTCTGAATTTCTCCGAAAAACAGAGACATAACTAAAACTCTCTCCTCAAGGTAAAGACCAGTGGCGGCCGGTCCATAGGGGCGCTAGGGGCGCCGCCCCACCTCTTCCCATATTGAAAAAAAAAAATAATAATAATAATTAAAATTAAAATTAAAAAAAAAATATGTTTAAAAAAATATATATGTTTTTATTTTTATTTTTAATGAACAAGGTAAATATTATATAATTGGTATCAGTAAAATGTATAATCTACAATAAAATCTCGTTTAAAATTGTGTTACGATGTCTAAAGTTACTGATAAGTCACATGTTTCCTGCCTGGCCTTGCCCATGCACCTTCTCTCGTCTGGGCGCTAAGAGAGGAGCCTTCAACCAGTGCAGCAGCAGCCACCAGCAGCTGACTGTTGCTATCTGTAACGTGTAAACTATGCCGCGAAAATATAATTTCAGCCAATCAGCGTCGTCAAAGATGACGGTCACCGGGCGCCAATGTCAGCGCCCAGTGCAGTCTGTGAGTAGTTTGGACAGTGACTCGTATCCGGTTGACGCAGTAGTTGATGAGGATGGCTTCGTGTGCAGGTGGAGTCTCCGGACCTCGGTCCCCGGCTAATTCTGTTCAAGAGCTAATCTCCAATCCTTTCGAAAGGAGAAGTTTGGCAGATAAATTGTTGCTTAAAGACCTTGCACCGGACCAACCCGATTTGAATATATCGCAGCAATCTCGTGAAAAAGACAACATTTATACACGAGGCTTCACAAGTAGCTGGTACACAAGAAAGGCTTGGCTAGCTGGATGCAAACAGGTAAATGCTGTCTTTTGTTTCCCATGCTTGGATATCACTTTATATGTAGAGAGGAGGTTTCCCATGGTTGTTAGAAGTTTATTAATAAGTGGGCATTTATCACAGAAGTGATTGTTCTGTCTCCACGTTTGTTGCATTGTCTGTGATGTATTTTCCAACGGTTATAGCTCCTGTTCTGTCCCAGCAACACTACACGGTTTGCAGCTCCACCACATTTTTGGTTTATCTTCGGTGTCGCTTAAAATCTGCTTCCCATCGGACTAAAACCTCCACGTAATCTGAAGACAGATACTTGAAGTTATTTAAACCTTTTGCAAACTTTATGTTCTTTCTTGCTCTAGCCTTGCCAGTTACATTGTACATAACACATATATTATCATTATGCTAAGTGGTTGTTCGTGTTAGACGATGTAGCTTTTTCATTTCTGAGTTATTGCTATATGTAAATAAGCCTGTTTGTAAATAATCCTCAGAGAAACAAAGAAAAAACACAATTTATGACATTTTGTGCTGTGGTTATTTTTTTTTAAATTGCATTTATTCACAGTTCAGTTTGAAATGCTGTAGTGACTTGTATTGAACCACTTAAATATTTATAATTAATGCTACTGAAAAGATGCTATTAATTTTATATCTCACATGCAGTTCACTGTAAAGCTACTTGGTGAAGGTGTTGGTTCATAAAACATGAACAGTTTTAAGAAAGAAAAAAACAGACCAGTTCTGAGAACACAAATTCCTGGTAAAGTAGTAGATGTTCAGGTTGATAAATAATATTTTCCACACTGAAGATTATGGAGGTATTGATCAGTCTTCTCATATTTTTAAGCCTCGATTTCTCCTTTCCCCCCCCCCTCTAACATCACCAGAAGTCATCATTTAAGGGGTCATTTCTCGAAAAAAGTTTCCGGGGGAAAACCCCCCGGACCCCCCGGGTAGGTCACTTACGGTACGTCAAGAGCCCCACCAAAAAAAAAGACCACCGGCCGCCACTGGTAAAGACTTATCGAAACATGCACCATGAACACATACGTACATTACTCACTTACCAAAAACCAGTTGAACAAACGCTTGCCTGCCCAGCGCTGGAATGAAACATCTGTATTTCCCCTGGTCAGAGTGTTGTAAGTTGGAGAGTTTCATGGAAATGTTTCCGTTCTTCAGCTCATCGGTGAACATTGAAGTTCTTCCCTTGAATAATTGGTGTTTTTTATCCACAAGTTCGTGACCAGAACGCATCACATGGACGAATCTGGGGTCCATGTCGGGCCTCGTCCACTCCAACGTCAAACCAGCAGCATTTACCGCCGGCTCCAGATAACACGGCAAAATGATGTCATCACCAAGGTTTGCTACGATTGGCTGAGGTGAGCCAATCAGCTGAGACTGACCTGGGAAGATAGAGGAAGTATATTATATAATGTAACCCGTGATGGTAGACTTTGGCTAATCGTAGGTTTTTTGTATTTGAATAGCTGTTCTCCATATTCTCATGTGTTTGCATTGGCAACAACTGCTTACAAAACTCAAAAAAAGCTCAAGAAAAAAAGGTTTCAAACAAATATTTCTAATGGTTTAGCTCCTGCGCACAGCTTAGTCTTGCGTTGTAAGCTAACGTTAGCCTCACGGCTAAGTTACGGCTAAATGATTAGCAAGAACTTCTCTACATCTCTGAAAAGCTTTTCGATATTGTACCGAGCCTCAATTCACATAATGTCAAAAGGCTTTACAGTACCAGCTTGCATAGAAAAACAATCACAACATTGATTTACTGTTTTCTCTAATTCAGCGCTTCCCAACCTTTTTCAACTAAGGGCCCACTAAAGAATCAACATTTTTTTCGCACCCCACATTCAACCATAAACAATACGAGGCTAAATAAAGTTCTGATTGGTCAATTCAGAACATGTGACATGTTGTAAATCCAGTAGAACAGACCGTTGCTAAGGACTGTAATGACCGTTGCTAAGGACTGTAATGACCGTTGCTAAGGAGGATCGAGAAAGAGAAAGGAAAAGAGGTTCAAATAAAAAAAATCCTATTAATGAAAATGTTTCCACACAAATCATAATGTCTTGCAAATTATTTGGCGGCAAATATTGAATTTACATTTACACTATTTAATATTTTATTTGGGCTTTTAGATGAAGACCGCACACAGTTAATAAATACAACTATTCTTCTGGCAAAATACATATTTTTAAAAGTCAATAAAGGAGTAATCTTAATTTAAGGTGTTTGAGGAGTAGATTAAAAATACAATTTATTTTGGAAAAAAATATTGCCACAAAAAGTCAAAGCCATGAAATGGGAAATAATGAGCTCTAAGGAAGAGTGGCATTAAATGAATTATAAATATGCCATGTTGTGTTTTTGGTGGTATTTGGTTGCCAACCTATTTTTGTTTGTGAAATGTTGAAGTGATCCTACTGACTGTATCTTTATTTCTTCTGTTTTTGTTTTGTTTTGTCTGAGATGGGAATGTCATCTCCTATATGTTATTGGTATGTCCATGTTTGTGTCTTTCGCCTGTACAAAATAAAAAAAATATTAGGAGGCCCACTTGCAATGCCTTCGCGGACCACTAGGGGGCTGCGGCCCACAGGTTGTTGCACAGGTTGAGAACCGCTGCTCTAATTGTTACAGATATTTAGCGTTTTCCAGTAACAACATATATTGGGGTACCACTTGCTTAAAGGTCATTACTGAATTTTTGCCTAATTATGCAAACAAATAAACGTCTTCCTAATGCTGTAAGTGTGACTTTTGAAGATTGTATTGTGTGTAACTTACCTCTACAGTGGTTTGTTAGGAGAAGAAGGAAAACCAAAACACTGAGTGTTCTGAGATGAGTTTTAAGGGGCTTTCCGTCTGTGAGTAAAATCATCATGGAGAACTGCAAATGAACAGAAAACAGAGTGAACTTCCAGGACAACATGCTTTAAAACAACTATTTAGAAAACGTTTTAAACAGGCTGGACAAAAAGTGGTCGAGTTATAAACTGAATTTTACCTTTGGACATTACTTGTACTTGAGGCTCCAATAAATGGAAAAACTTTATTACCATCTTCTGTGCTCTACTTATAATTTACATATCCTATTTCATTATATGATATGCTCTGTTTAAGACATATAATGATAATTTAGTTACACAGTAGCCATGTTACAAATCCAATATCCCCGGTACCTTCATCTAACTAAAGACTCTCTGCACACAACACCCAGTTCAGTGTTATGACTATCACCAAGTCTGCAGTTTTCACTCGGACACAAACGTATGAAATACATTTTTTTATCTTTTGTAATCTAGAACTGTGGTTCACCAAAACTCAATATTCTGACTTTTCATGAAAAAGGTTTTGAATCTATTTTATCTTATGTATTAAATGTTCACAAATTGAAGAACACGTACCTGTTGAATGTTGCGTGTCTCCGTCTCTGACTGCGAGGACAACGTCTGTGAATCATTGACAGACTCATGCAGAGTATTATGCAAATAGAGTTACGCCTAATTCATTTTTCTTCACCAAACTTCTTGATGGTTAATGTTATGCTTAATATTTATTTTCAGTGTGCAAATGTTTCTGCAGCAGCAAGAGGCATTTTCTACAAAAGCTGTGTAGAATATTCAAGTTTAGTGTAATTTTATCCACTGAAATGTTATCTGAGTTTCACTTTGAGCGTCTCGGTTCATGAACTTATGAACTTTGGATTCAGTGTCTTGGTTACGGGTTATAAATTAATACATGGCAATAAAATCAGTTGCAAAGGACCATTTGTATTGTTTTATTGTGGCAACGGTTGAAAGGCAATTCTCTATTAACGCAGAGGGCATGTCTGATCTTTGACTGCAGGGGGCGGGACTTTCAGTTTGTATAACATCTGTCAGACTTTCTTTTGTTGTGTGTGTGTGTGTGCGTGTGTGTGTGTGTGTGTGTGTGTGTGTGTGTGTGTGTGTGTGTGTGTATGGGGTGTGTAGGGGTGTGACTGATAAAGACTGAAAAGGGAGAGAGGGAGGGAGAGCGAGGAGAGGAGGGAGAGAGAGAGTGAGAGAGGGAGAGAGAGGGAGAGAGGGAGAGAGGGAGAGGAGAGAGGAGAGAGGGAGAGAGGAGGAGAGAGGGAGAGAGGGAGAGGAGAGAGGAGGAGAGAGGGAGAGAGAGGGGAGAGAGAGAGGGGGAGAGGGCGAATAGTTCTAGAGTTGGGAGAGAGGGATTCAGGTGGTTTTTGTGCTTCTCTGGATTTCTCTGGTTTTCTCTCTTTTCTCTCTGTTTGTCTTTCTAGGGGCTAGCATTCCATATCATTTGAAGGTGGAGGAAGCTGTTCCTCAGCCTGGTGGAGATCGAGCTGAGGCTGCGGAACCTTCTCTTTGAAGGCAGGAGGCTGAAGAGGCTGTTGGAGGGGTGGGTGGAGTTACCCACAATGCTGAGTGCTCTGCGGGTGAGGCGGGTGTTATATATGTCCTGTAGTGAGGGGAGTGAGGCACCGATGATCCTCTGGGCAGAGTTCACTATGTGCTGCAGGCTCTTGCGGTCGGCGGCGGGGTAGCAGCTTCCAAACCACAGCGTGATACAGCTGCTGAGGATGCTCTCGGTGGCGCCTCGGTAGAAGGACAGCATGATGGGGGGTGGTGCTCCTTCATCCGGTTCGCTTGAGCTTCCGGATGAAGTACAGGCGCTGCTGGGCCTTCTTCGCTCGTCCGGTGGTGTTGTTTCTCCAGGTGAGGTCATCTGTGATGGTCACACCCAGGAGTTTGGTGCTGCTCACCTGATCCACAGCAGCACCGATGATGGTCAGGGTTCATTGAGATGAAACAAGAAAAAAGAAAGCAAGATTTGTCAGAAGGGCTAGTTATGATTTCACCCTTGGCCAATACAATTATTTAAAGCCTTTGCAGTATCAACTGATTTGGCGTATTACAGGCCAATGCACCTGCAGGATTCTTGCTTGTTTGCGTCTGACTCTTCATGGTTGAATGCACTCATTATAAATCGCTTTAAATGAAAGTGCCAGCAAATAAAAAGTGATGTACTGTCACATAATAAACTCTGATGAGGCTGCAACTACTGTAATGTGTTCATATCTTCAGCATGTGCATGGCCCTCCTGAATGTGATGCAGAAACCCACCAGCAGGAGGTTCAGTTTGTGTGTTCAGTTCAAGGATGGTACCCACTTGAATGAATCTTCTTGTTTTGAGTGTGTTTCCTCATGATGTAATGCACTTATTATAATTCGCTGTGGATAAAATGATCAGCTAAATAACAAAAATGTCCTTGACTGCTGGATGGAAGTGTTTCATTACCACACGAGTGTAATGTTCAGGTGTTAATACACTTAAGTGGATGTGCCTGTACTTACAGGCCCTTGGTATACATGATGCCTCCTGATTACAAAATAAATAAATAAGAAAAATGACTTTGTCTTCGAAGACAGTGGAATATATGACAACTATCTTTATTTACATTATGCTTATTATATACTCATATTCAAAAAAGGGTTTCAACTGCTGCTGAAACCACAGAGAGTCTGACCCCAGCCTCAGAAACACTCTGCACAGGAAGAGGAAGTTCTCACTCACATCATATTTCTGTGTCTCACAGTGAGACGCTCAGACAGCAGGAAGACATCATGGAGGTCACAGCGCTCTGCAGCCGACTGCGTGAGTCTCAGATCATGAACTATTTACTTTTCACAAATACTTAGCATATTTTGGCTAATAAAACGTTTTGTCTCTATCTGCATATCTAGTGACGTGTGTGACCATACTGCTGGGGGCACATATTCAGATGAGCTCTTTGCAAAACATTGGTGGGTACCAACTACTAAAGAGTCACATACTCATGTTAATAGGAAATACCGGTGTGTACGTGCATTGTGTTACACAAATACAGTGATTTCCTTTTTTTATCATAGTTTTGCTATATTCTTATTCACCAGATGTTTTATTGTGTCTGTTTCTGTCCTCAGACGCAGCTTTGCACATCGTCACAGAGAGACTTCAGCTCTTTGAATACGAGCCCTTCTCTTTTCTCTGCGAGGGTCCTGGCTCTGCTCTGAGGGGGTTTAGGAACAACAATGAGTTAATTCAGGGTTGTTATATTATTGCTTCATCAACACTGAACTGCACCATTCAACAGGCCTATGATTCAGACAGTGGGGTTTACTGGTGTGAGGATGAGAAAGGAGAGAAGAGCAACTCTGTCCACATCACCGTCACTGGTATGTTTTGTTTATTCCGATATACCGTACATCGTTTTTCACACTAATTTGTCATATACTTTATTTTGCATACTTGTATATCGTGTTCTTAATTATTATTATTTTACAGTATTTAAAAAAATATTTCTACATTTGCTCTTATTTTACGTTATTTAGCAATACTAAAGCAGTTTCCTCATATTGGAAAACCTACTTTTCTAAAGTGTGTTAGAAAAGTTTGTTGGTGGAATGACAATATCTGATTAAAGTAAAAAACCTGAATATTGTAAAGAAAAACTGAATTTAACAAAGAAATGCAATGAAAAGGAAAACCCCAAAACAGTGTACGGAATGCTTAGCATTGTCGATAAGCATTTTCTAAAATGTGATTTGTGTCGCAAAATGTATAAACAAATACCGGTTTGAGTTTAAAAATTCTTGTCTATGATGATATTTTAAGAATTGTCTAAAAATATAATAAAAAATTACAGGAATGACAATCAACCGTCAACGCTGCCACAGGGATATCAGGAAACATGTAATAATATTAACCTCTATGCAGACGATACCATACATTACTGAATAGTTGTTATCAATGTTTTCCGATTACTTTTCGATATTTTGTATTCATTCTGTGCATGTTAGCAACCATCTTAACATTCACAGTATTCTCCAATGCTTGTGTCTACAGTATATCATGTTATATTTTTGTCAATAACTCCAAATGTGTTCATTAGACTAAACGTTTGATCCCGATGTTGTTCAGCTGGCTCTGTGATCCTGGAGAGTCCTGTGCTTCCTGTGATAGAGGGAGAATCTGTGACTCTGAGCTGCAGAAACAAGACGACCACTTCCTCCATCCTCTCAGCTGATTTCTATCAAGATGGCCGCCTCATCAGGAGCAGCTCTACAGGAATATTAACATTCGAAAATGTTTCTAAATCTGATGAAGGACTCTACAAGTGCAGCATCTCTGACGGTGGAGAATCACCAGAGAGCCGGTTTGCTGTCATAAGTAAGATACAAAAAGTACAAAAGATGATATTTACTTTGATTTTACATGATACCGGACAATATTACAACCTCATGAAATGTTCTGTTATTTGGGCTAACCTCACACAGGTCGAAGTCAAATTTAAGAGCAGTTTAATAAAATGGACATGTATGTAATAATCCCCATAGGGAAAGTGAGATCTGAGAGCAACAACAGCAATAAGAGTGAAACACAGGATAGGACAGGTAAGAGTTCATGGAAGCATCTTTTTAATAAGTATAACAAATATAAAATTGAAATATATGCACATAAGTGATTTGAATGAATCTGAGAGAATATAAATGCATGTCTTTGTTAAAGTGCGGTTGCGCACATGCGCTGCACATCTTTCAAAATGTTACGATGTGCAGTCATTTGTTTCCATATTCTATAAAGAATTAATCAAAGGTGGAAAAAGTACTCAGATATTTTTCTTATCTTAAACCGCTCTGTAAACAAACTCTGTACAAGTAAAAGTCCTGTTTTTTAAATTGACGTACATAAGTATAAACAGCAACATCTAGTACGTATTTAAGTAAAGATACTTGTTAGGTCTCAGTTTTTCTATAATAAATATATTATTGGAAAACAACTACTGACAGCTATTTCAACTAATTTTTTACTGATGAATAATTTAACCTTTAGCGGTGTTAGGTTTTATAAATATATAACGTGTAAATTAACTCCAGTTTTCAAATAAATGCATCAAAAATGACAATATTTCCCTCTAAATTGTAGTAGGAGCATAAAGTAGCTTAAATTGTACTTTTGTTCAGTACTTGAGTACATTTACTCAGTCACCACTGAAACTAAGTTGTGAGGTTAAAGGTCCATCATTTTTAAATAAGATTATGTAAATGCTAACATGCTAACATGCTAACATTACGTTTTGTGTATTACAGAAAGTGGTGACCTACTTAATGAAGAAATGCGTTCTTTCCTCCATGTCTTGCTGTGGACCGCTATCATTATTTTCATTTTGGTATTGGCGCTGCTGGTGCTGGGAGTCCTTCATATGAAACATAGAGGTATGAACATCTCAACACATTGTGTATTTATATACATGCAACTACGTTTATAATAGCTTAATTACTTCTAAATGCAATGTTATGGAGCATTGAAGTGAGAACTTCTTCAAAACAAAACATCTACTTTATACAGAGATTTTACTTATAATGACAAATTATCAAAATCATTA